ATCTCTTTGGCATACTTCTGCTGGCCTAAGAAGATACCTTCCTAATTCTGAATCACCTCTACCCCAAGAAAGAACCTCATCTTTCCAAGATCTGTCATTTCAAATTCTTATTGCATAGATGCTTTCAATTCAGAAACTATGGCTTCACTGTTAGATGCATACATTACATCATATACATAAAGGCTTACTAATAACAGATCATTACCTCTTCTTTTTATGAACAATGTGTGTTCATATGTGCATCTTTCAAATCCAACAGCTTCAAAATAGACCTCTATGTGTGAGTACCATGCTCTTGGAGCCTGCTTCAAGCCATAAAGATCCTTGTTGAGTTTATAAACCTTAGCTTCCTCCCCTAGAACCTGAAATCCTTCAGGTTGTGTCACATACACATCTTTAGTTAGATCACCATGTAGGAATGCACTCTTGACATCTAGCTGATAGACTGTCAATCCATGAGCAGCAGCCAGGGCCAGAAGTGTTCTGATGGTGTCCCATCGTGCTATAGGTGCAAAGACTTCTGTGTAGTCATACCCTCCTTCTGTGCATACCCCTTGACTGCCAGCCTTGCTTTATAATTTTCCACCTCTCCTAGCTCATTTAGCTTAGTTCTGAATACCCATTTGAGTCCAATTGGAGTGATCCCTAGTGGCAGAACTACTAGTGTCCATGTTCCATTCTTCTCAATTGCTTGGATCTCCACCCTCATGGCTTGATTCCACTTCTCATCCTTGACAGAATCCTCATAGGTTACTGGATCATCTGTGATGGCCACCATAGCCACCATAGCCACCCAATCTGTTTGAACGCATCCCATTTCAAAGTCACTGAAACGAGTTGGCAATTTTGAAACTCTGGGAGTCAACTCTATCATTGGCCGCCCAAGAACATCAGCCTGAGTTATTTCATCTTCATCCTCCTGTCCTGATGATGTTGATCCAGTTGAGCTACCAGTTGGGGTTGAACCTGAAACGCGAGAAAGATTACAAGTTGCTGCAGGAGTTGAGATATCCAGTGGAACTGGATTTTTTGGTGCTGCAGGAGTCATTTCACTGTCTGAATCCACTAGATCATCATCACTTCCTTCCCAATCAATCCTGGTGAGAACTGGAGTGATTGAGTTCCATTCCCAGCCAGGCTGTTGTCATCAAAGATTACATCTCTGCTGACAACAACCATTTTGGTTATGGGATTATAAAGCATATATGCTTTTGACTCAACTAAGACTCCAAAGAATACACACTTAACACTTTTTTCATTGAGCTTCTTCCTTTGTTGGTCAGGGATATGAACAAATGCAGCACAACCAAAAATTCTGAAGTGCTCTACTATGGGTGGAAAACCATACCAGAGTTCTTGAGGAGTTCTTCCCTGATTAGCAGCTGCTGGACATCTATTGAGAATATGAGTTGCCCAATTGATTGCTTCAGACCAAAAACGTGCTGAAACTTTTGTATCTTCCATCATGCATCAAACCATGTTAAGGATGGTTCTGTTTTTGCTCTCGACCACCTCATTCTGTTGAGGTGTGAGAGCTACTGTAAGCTGCCTCCTTATCCCCATCTCGTCATAAAAAGCCTTGAATTCATCATACCTGAATTCTCCTCCCCTGTTTTTTCTAAGACACATGATTGGTGTGCCTCCTTCCTTCTCAACTTGACTCTTAAACACTTTAAATGTAGTGAAACTTTCTGACTTGGCAGGTCGGAAATACACCCATAGTTTTCTACTCAAACTATCAATCAAGGTAAAGATGTATTTTCCATTGTTGGATACTACAGTGATGGGGCCACACAAATCAACATGAACCAATTGTAGCCTCTTTGTGGATTGCCACTGACTTTGCTTTGGAAAGGAGGCTCTATGGTGCTGCCCTATCAGAAAGGTAGAGCAGACTCTTGAATTGCCTTCTAACACAGGTAATCCCTTCACCGGATCCTTTCTTTGTAATCCAAGTAATCCTTGATAGTGGAGATGTCCAAACCTCATGTGCCACAGCTTCAGCTCTTCAGCAGCTTCAGTAACCTTAAAACACTGATGGTTGGCACCCTGGCTAGGAATGGCAATGGGGCATGTTCGGGGCGGGTATCTCGATACCCATACCCGCCCCATGGCAGGTCGGGTCCAAGTCGGGTAATTTGTCATGGGGCGCGGGTCAAGGCAGGTCGACCCAATGGGTATGTAATTTATATGAAAAACATTAGAAATATTCGCTATTTTCATTAAAATACCAAGAAATAAACCATAATATGATAAAATGTAGTTAAATTATTGGAGAAGTTGAGTTTTCCCCTAACTTACAACTTTATTATAGCTAAAAATATGAGGTAATAAAAGGAAAATCCTAAGTAATTTGACTAAGATTGCATGTAAATTAGGCAAGAACGGAGCGAGAATGAGGCGGATTAGGGCAGGTCGGGTCCATGAGAGGTACCCATGCCCGCCCCGCCCCAAAATAGGTCAAACAGGTCGGGTAGAATGGGTCAGGTCGAAATTGCCATCCCTTCCCTGGCCAACTTCACAATGAAGCACAAACAATCTATTGTTCTTCATAGCAGTTTGTAATATGAGACCCTTATTTTCATGAAAGATCTTGCATGTTCCATCTTTGATGAGAAAAGCCAACCCTTTTTTCTGTAGTTGTCCTATGCTTACCAAGTTGGAATTCAAGCCTGGGACATAGAAGACATCTTGTACTACCAGTGAGATGTGCTGAATGTTCATCTTGACACTCCCTTTTCCCTGAACAACAAGCTTTGTATTATTACCTAGCTTGATTGTGCAGGTAAAGTCAGTATCTAGTGAGGTGAACCAGTCTTTGTTGCCAGTCATGTGATTGTTGCACCCTGAGTCTAGGAGCCACCACCCTTCACTTTGATTTGCTGGTGTGTTTACATGACTCATGTGTGTTTACATGACTCATGTGAAGCTTTGGAAGCATAAGATCATCTTCCTTATGTAATTCACTAGTTTTGTAAGTCACGAGTAGAAACTCTTCCTTCATATCTGGATACTGATCTCCTTGCATCACAGGGGCATTAGTGAAATGAGCATGTTGACCATACAACTCAGGACATTCATATTTAAGGTGTCCCAGTCTTTGACAATAGAAACACTCAAGAGTGTCCCTATTCTAGGATCGACCACCTCTGCCTCTGCCTCTTCCTCTGAATCCACCTCTTCCCTGACCTCTTTCACCCCTACCTCGAAAGTCATGACTGATCTTGAAAGCTTGATCATCCCCATCTTCCTTTTTCACAAACTTCTGCTCATGAATCAATAATGAACTTTGGAGATCACCCATAGTTAAGACTATCTATGTCTTTTGATTCCTCAATAGAATACACAATATAATTAAATCTTTCTGTCAAAGTTCTTAGGATTTTCTCCACAATTTTCACATCAGTTACCTCCTTCCCACAGTTTTTTATTGCATTTGCCACAACCATTACTCTACCATGTAATCATTCACAATCTCACCTGTCTTCATTGCTAGCACCTTAAAGCTTATACTCGGAGTTTGAAGTTGAGCCCTTTTCACTCTAGGACTCCCCTGATACTTTATCTTCATAGAGTCCCAGAGCTCTTTTGCAATGGCCTTTTGAGTTATTATTTTCAGGATCGTCTTCACAATAGAACTTAAAAAGGTAGTTCTTTGCTTTCAGATCCTTCAACCCCAAATCATTCAGCTGCTTGCTTTGTTCAGCAGTCAGTTCGGCTCCAGCTGCAGGTGCTTGGACTCCAGTGGACACAACATCCTAGAACACCCTTGGATATGAGAAGATTCTCCATGACCAAACTCCAGTGGTCATAGTCACCATCAAAGCGTGGAATACACACTTGAGCAAATCCAAAATTTTCACTCATCTTGCTAGCTTCTCACTCACTTGATTGACCTCTCAATCTCTCGTGTTTCACTCACCCCACGAAGCACCCTCTCACTATGCTCTCTCGTGTTTCCCAAACCCAGAAATCAATTCTCACACAGATCTCACTCTTGATGTTTGCATAGATTGTTGCTTACAGTATGCTAGGGCTCTGATACCACTATGTTATCAAAGAAGTGAAGCAAACTAACGAGCTTTATTAAATGAAATCAAACAAATATATACATATGTTTTTCCTTGAAACACGACAGCCACTAACCACTACTAACTCCCTCAATCCATGAGACTAGCTAACAACCTAACAAACTAACTTATGACCCACGACTTATTGTTTCCTAACCAAGACACCGACTCTAACATAAAACGCAGCAGCTTAACCAAAGCGGTGAGCTTGAACTAAAACATTCAAATTGGACTTGAGACCTGCCAAAGCCCAACATCTCTGAGCAGCCCGAGTCTGATTTTCACAGCGACAAATTTTTCATTTTTCGCGCCAAGATAGGGTTGAGAAAGGGAAAGCACATGAGGGTTGTAGATAGTTCATTAATTCACATGACAGTCGGGGCACCCATATATATAAGCTTCCTTTATTCTGTTATGAGGTTCATTCATAAGCTTCTTTTGATTCCAAATTTAATGTTCTATTGGGAATTAAGAGTTGAGCTCTGCTGTGCCTAAGAGGCTAGATTTTTGTGAACCCAGATGCATACATTTCAAGTTTTGAATGTGGAAATGTGTTGTGAGCTGATGAATAAGGAATTGTTTGTTTAGAGTTTTGATTAGAAATTGGGGTCACAGGGTAAGATCGCAATTTGGCGCATTTTAGGACGACAAAATTTGAATTTTAGGGCGACGAATAGCAATTCATAACTAATGTTGTATATTAGCAACAAACACACAACATTAATAGAAGCCATTTTTCTACCCAACTACATATGATTCTTGTACATCTAGTTTTAGGGTCACTAAAACAGATATAAAAAGAAGAATCATATATCCTTAGCTCACACTTGCTAATCATGATGTCATTTTCTTTATTATTTACCGTGATTAAACTACTTCCCCCGGTCGTGGTTGTTAACTTCCCTAGTTAGCTAGCTAGGTAAAAAACTTTCACCCCTCCCCAAGCCCCTCTTTTAATAAAGTCCTGGCTCGAACCAATGGCGACTGCGGGATCGGCGACCTCGGGGACATAATAAACTCGTCGTAAATCCTTCCGGAGAAGCTCAAATTCAATCTGCTCTGCGCGCAGAGCTTCCTCGCCGGCTTCATCGCCTCCTTGTTCTTCGCCACGAAAGCCCTGATCCTCCCCAGCGCCACCTCCATCGTCTCGTCGTCCATATTCGCGAAGCAAACCCGGAACCAACCCGGCTATAAGCAGTAGAACGAACTCCCCGATGAGACGTTGAGCTTCACCTCGTTGATTATAACCCGCCAAAGCGCCATCTCCTCCTCCACGATCTTCTCCTTCAACAATCGCCGGAGATCCATCAACACGAACAACCCCGCGTTGCTGGATCTCAGGCACCGGATCCCGACCCAACCCGCCCGTGAACGCCCCGTGCCGCCGCTAGCCTGGCCCGGTTCGCCCCGAGAAACTCCTCCACAAACTCCTTGTCCGACAGCATGGACCCGATCATGTGTTGGGTCTGGGCCAAGACCAGCCCAAAGCTCGACATCTTCCACACGCAGCACACCACGACGTCGTTGTATGAATAGACTATTCCGACCAGCAGGCCCGAAAAGCCCATGTCTTTTGACTAGCTGTTGACTATGTGGATCAGGTTCAGGTTGAGACTGTTCTTGCCGCCGCCGTTCCTCCGGTCCTCGTCAATGATCTCGGCCATGCTGACATAGTTGGGCTTGCCAAAGACGCTGGCAGAGTAGATCTCATCGCAGATCAGGTGGATGTTCTTCTCGTTGGTGAAGGCGACGATGCTTCTCAAGGTGTCACCATCGAGAATCGTACCCAGTGGGTTGGACGGGTTGGTCAACATCAACCCTTTGACTTGAATGTTGTTCAGCTTCGCCATTTCGTAGGCAGCTTCCAGGTCCTCCATCCTCAGCTAGAAGTTGTTCGCGCTGTCGCATTTGATCAGCACGAGCTGGATTCCCGTCTTCCACCGCAAATCACGATCGAATCTGTCAAGCAAGAAAAGGAAGACAAAATTGAGCAAAAACATTGTTTCATAATCGTAGATAGTGACGCAGTTTCCCACCGTCTCTGTTTACGGTTTGACAAACAGGATGACTTTTGCTAAGCGACCCACCAATGATTCAGGCTGGACCAACCAACAAACAAGAGACTATAGGGGGATTAAAACCCTAAATACCAATTAAAACTTGTGATGCCGACTTGTTTACATAACAACTATCCCTCTTTCTGACTTTTGAGGAGCCCTTTGTTTATGTCAATCAAACCGAAAACACGAAGAACACAAGACGCGGATTAACGTGGTTTCCCTAACGATTGTCGTTAGGACTAGTCCATGGAGAACGGCGGCCGATCTTATTCTCATAATCGTAAACCTTCTGTACAGCCATGCACCCAATATATATACAGCTATACTAACCCTAACCCGGCAAACTACATTTTGGTACTTGGACAATTACATATAGATACATATACTTCAACACCCTCCCTCAAATTAATGTAGCTGTCGCAACATTAATTTGTGCGCGAGAAACCAATGTCGAGCAGATGCAACAGCCTTGGTCAACAGATCTGCAGTCTGATCCTCAGAAGTTATGTAAGCGAGTTCCACTTCACCCTCTGCAACCAGTTGACGAATATAATAAATGTGAACCTCCATATGCTTTGTCCTGTCATGAAGTACCGTGTTAGTCGCAATACGAATAGCACTCGTATTATCCACATGTAAGCGAATAGGTGGACGAACAACCACTCCAAGCTCGGCTAAAAGGCGTTTCAGCCACACTATCTCAGAAGCAACTTCACTCATCGACCTATACTCAGCTTCAGTTGATGACTTCGATACCCTGTCCTGCTTCTTACAACGCCATGATATAAATGACTGTCCCAGCCTAACACACCATCCTGAGGTAGATCGTCTAGTATCCAAACAGCCCGCATAGTCTGCATCAGCATAGGCCTCCATCACTTCCTCACCTACCGCAGGAAACACAAGACCCACATCTTGAGTGCCCTTTGAATACAGCAGAATCTTTTGAACTGCAGCCCAATGAGGAGACCGAGGTGCATTCATGAACTGGCTCACCACCTGTACTGCATACGAAATATCCGGATGCGTATGGGTAAGATATATCAAGCTATCCACTATACTGCGATACAATGAGGCATTAGAAATCAAGTCACCATCCCCAGAACGCATCTTAAGATTTTGCTCCATCAGAGTACCACAGGGCACACACTCATCCATCTGTGCTTCCTCAAGCAGATCAATAATGTATTTGCGTTGGCAAACATGACGACCAACTACTGACCGATGTATCTCTAATCCCAGAAAATAAGATAAGTCACCTAATTCCTTGAGATTAAAAGCAGAATGTAGCACCCGTTTGAGCTCCTGTATACCAAGCTGATCATTCCCTGTTACTATCATATCATCAACATAAATTAAAAGCACTGTAAGACCAGGACTAGTATTGCGAAGAAAGAGAGAAGGATCATTGTTACTCTGGACAAAGCCTGCATCGAGAATGGTGTCCTGGAACTTTTCAAACCATGCTCGAGGTGCTTGTTTCAACCCGTACAGTGACCTCTTAAGCCGACACACCATAGAGCTGTCACCACGAGTATAACCTGGTGGTCTCTTCATATATATGACCTCCTTAAGATCACCGTGAAGAAAGGCATTCTTCACATCTAACTGAAGGAGATCCCAACCCTTCATAGCTGCTACTGCCAGCAAACTCCGTACTATCTGCATTTTAGCTACGGGAGCAAACATTTCTGCATAATCCACCCCATACTCTTGACAAAAGCCTTGAGCAACTACACGCGCACGGAACCTCTCGACACTCTCATCTGGTAACATTTTGACTGTATACACCCACTTAATATCGATGACAGAGTATTCAGGACGTCGTGGTACCAAATCCCAAGTCTCGGCAGCATCAAGAGCGTCCTTCTCCACGTCCATAGCCTTCTCCCAATGCTCAATCCCCCGAGCCTGCTTGTAAGTGGCTGGCACCACAATCGATGGAGTGGAAAAGGCAACAAACTCGGAATGATGGGGTGGCGGAACACCTTTATTCACCCTGGTAGAACGACGAACTGGGGGAGGATCGGCTTGTAAGCCAGCCATGTATTGAGTAGATTTGGAAGAGGACGAAGATGATGAAGATGTCCCAGAGTCTGACGTAGCACCTGCGGATAGAGAGATCGACGAGGAAGAAGACCCAGTAGAAAAAGTGGAAGAATCCGAGGACCCAGAAGAAGTGGAATAATGACTTGGACTATTCTCATGACTTGGACTATTCTCCAAGGTGCCAAGCTCATCATCCTCCTCCACTGGTGCGGAGCTAGAAGTGGAATAATCAAATGGACGTAAGAATTCCAAGTCCATGCATGAGGAAACGTCGGAAGTTGCTGACCCATAATACGACACATTATCAAGAAAAACTACGTGACATGAAATCCAGACACGTCGCGCAGTAGGATCATAACACACGTATCCTTTGTGCTTCTCGCTATATCCAAGGAAAACGCACCGAACAGCCTTCGGTGTGAGTTTTGTGCGCTCCCGTTGAGCAAGAAGTACATAGCAGGAGCACCCAAATACACGGAGCCAACCATAGTTAGGGAGATGCGAATACAAAACCTGATATGGACTGCATTGGCTAAGAACTGACGTAATTTGTCGATTGATCAAATAGAAGACCGTATGAACAGCTTCCACCCAAAACATCTTTGGAACCTATGAGTGAAATAAAATGGCACGTGTAAGTTCCAAAACATGCCTATTCTTACGCTCCACTAGGCCATTTTGCTGCGAAACTCCAGGACAAGATTGCTGAACAAGAACACCCCGCTCTCGCAGCATCGCCTGTAACGGATTCGAAGTAAACTCACCCCCTGGATCAGAACACAAAATCTTAATCATTTTTCCAAACTGCGTAGACACCATCTGAATGAACTCTTGAGCACAAGAAAACAATTCGGACTTCTGGCGAAGAAAGAAAACCCAGGTAAAGCGCGTAGCATGATCGATGAACAGGGCAAAGTATCGGAAACCAAGGCGGGAAGTAACTGGAGAGGGACCCCATAAATTAGTGTGAATTAACTCAAATGGCTCGAAATACACTGCTCACTGGACGTAAACGAACGTTGAGACAGTTTAGCTTGCAAGCAATGAACACATTCATGATCCTGTTCAGATAAACCACTACCAGATAACCATTTATTCTGAAACATAGTACGAAGGCGCACTGAATGTGGATGTCCCAATCTAAAATGCTAGAGATCCCAATTCGATAATTTGACTGAAAAACCAGAAAAAACATCTTGTCTACTACAACTAGACAAATCACTCTTACAATTATCCTTATCTTTCAATTTCGCCACCTGGGAAGAATTCATTAAAGAAATATTTCCTACTAGCCGATCCTGAATGTGCCCGCCACCATCTTGCACAGCCAAGTGATCGAGCATGTAGGTGCGCCCTTTCTTACTTCCCCTCCCGAGCTCCTTCCCCGTCCTCGTGTCCTGCACAGAGCACCCATCCGCATCAAGTATGACGCGACAACCATCATCAGCTAACTGACCAAAAGAGATAAGGCTGGGCACAAGTTGAGGAACATATAACGTATTGGGGAGTGATATACTGGGCTACACAACATGACCTACACCCTTAACCTCCATTCTATTACCATCGGCAGCTTGTAATGCAATACCAAGTGCTGACTTATCAAGAGTACGAAAGACACTAGTTGAGCTAGTCATGTGATTGTAAGCTGCTGAATCAACATGCCACGACGGAGAACACGAAGAAGTCTTACCCGTAGCAAAGGCTGAAGTTAAGGCCGATGGAAGAACATCCTTCAAGGCATCTTGGACCAGGCGACGGACATCCTCAGGAGTCAATGAAACCCCCGAAGAACTTTGGGCAGTAGAACCCCCATCCACAGCCGCGTACGCACTACCGACAGCTGAACGAGACGGTCCAGGACGCGAGGCGCCAGACCTCAACTTGCTTCGCTGGGCTAGCGTCGGACACGCAGCAATGAGATGTCCCTCCAGCTTGCAATAATTACAAGTGTTGCACTTCGGACAATGAAATTGAATATGTCTCGGAGCCTTACAATGATAACAAATGACCTCCCCTTTAGTTGTCCGATGGAATTGGGGTTTACCTCCAACAGCAAACGCAAGACCAGGCCCATTGGAGTGGATATCAATCTTCGCTTGGCTTTTGAGCCTTGTTTCCTCACGGAGAAGTTCGGAGAGCACATCCTCCACAGTTGAGACCTCACGATGGAGAAGAGAGGCCCTTATACCTTCAAATTCGGGCCTTAAGTTCATGAGAAAACGCATCACACGGGTGCTTGCGCGTTCACTAAGAGCATCGGGAGTGGGCAGTGCGGACGACAAGGAGGCCAAAATCAGGTCCTGCTCCGTCCATAAAGTGACGGCTTCCTGGTAATAAGAGCTGATCGAAAGCTCTCCTTGCTTCAGCTGGGCCAAATCATGCTCGACATCAAATTTGCGCGAAGCATTAGCCTTAGAATAGAGTTTCGCCAAGTGCCCCCACATCTTCGAAGCCGTAGAAAAGCCACGAAGGCTCAGCGCTATACCAGGTTCAAGAGAACTCAGCAACAGGGACATTACCGAGGCATTATTCACAGCCCAATCATCTCGATCCTTTTGCGAAGCTGTCTCCGCTGGAACCCTAGTTGTACCATCCAGAATAGGAAGCATGCGCTTCCCTTGAACATGAAGGCGGAATTGAAATTCCCAGAGAGCGAAATTCTTACCATTAAACCCAGGAAGAAGAGCATCATTCTTGGAGTTGTCCATGATACCTAAACCAACCGAAAATCACAAGAGCAATAGAAACCACACAAAGTCGTTGAGCTAGCAACCTTGAAGCCACACGAAAACGGCGCACCAGCAACCCTAAGCAGCACGCAAGGACAACACACGAAGTCCACACAGAGACGGGAAACACGACCAAATCACGAGAAGTAATGGAGAGGCTCTGATACCATGTCAATCAAACCGAAAACACGAAGAACACAAGACGTGGATTAACGTGGTTTCCCTAACGATTGTCGTTAGGACTAGTCCACGGAGAACGGCGGCCGATCTTATTCTCGTAATCGTTAAACTTCTGTACAGCCATGCACCCAATATATATACAGCTATACTAACCCTAACCCGGCAAACTACATTTTGGTACTTGGACAATTACATATAGATACATATACTTCAACAGTTTAATGGTGTTCAGAGTGAGTGATGGCACTATCAAATGGTTGCATATTGGTGGCCCGATAAGAATAAATATATAGGTGAGTGTGTTAGGTCATTTGTCTGCCCTAGTGGATGGAAGGGAATGGGATAGGATGAGAGGAACAGAGGAGGAAGAAGAGAAGATGACCCAAAAAGTCTAAAGTCTAGCTTGAATCGAATTAGACTGATTCAACTCATCAAGTTGATGCACTGTTCCGTCAAAATAGAGTATAATATGATTTGAGTACTTTTCTTTTTGTTAAGAACGTCAACTCTTGGGGGTGGGGGGAGTTGTAGAGTAGAAAGTAATTACCATGGATAATAAGGGGTGGGCACTAGGAGAGCCTCGTCGGGATCCGCCAAGTAGAAAGCGACGGTCTCGTGAGCTCCGGTGGCTCCGCCGGCCATAACAATCCTGTCTGGGTCGAAGCTCACTCTGTCTCCTCTCACTTTCCCCATAAACTTTGCCACCGCCTGCAGATCGATAGTTAATTAACCAACGCCAATTAGTAAAAATAAACTAAAAGACCCGAGAAGGGAAAGCAGGGGAAGTAGGAAATGAAAAATAGGGAAGCAGAAGAAGATGATGGAAATAAAATGATTTATTTCCTTTTGATTTGAAAAACTAAATGTGGGCTTTTGATGGGGTTAGCTGGTTTATTGAGCTTTGAAATGGGAAGGGTTTTATTTTTTTTTGGGAGAAGTGGATTGGCAGAAGACTTGGATTGGAGAAGGGAATGGAAACTCTTTTTTATTTGCTTCTTTCTCTCTTTTGGCTCTACATCATACACAGCTCCAAGTGAGCCTCTTTATACTACTCCCATTACATAAAAATCTGCAACCTATTAATGACAGTAGTTGAACCGACTCAGCAATTATGGTTCATGATTTTTCTATTTTTATAATACAACTACCACACACATTTCTACACAATTCCAATCCATTCTAGCTCATCACGTCCCTTCCAGCAGATTCATATATTTTTTCTGTTTTATTTTAATTAAACTTTATTTAATTTCAACACTCTCCCTTAAAGTTTAATTAGTCATTACTCCGAGTAGCGTCCTCATCTTGACGAACACATCTTGCTTCAGCGGCTTCGTGAAAATATTAGCAATTTGGTCTTCAGTCTTCACATACTTCAACGTTACTTCTTTTTGTTCCACACATTCTCTTAAGAAATGATACCTCGTATCAATATGCTTACTGCGATCATGAAACACTGGATTCTTTGCTAACGCTAGAGCAGACTTGTTATCAACATAAATCTAAGTTGACTCTTCTTGTGTCATGTTCAACTCCTTCAGCAACTTTCTTAACCATATTGCATGACACGCACACGATGTCGCGACAACATACTCAGCTTCACAAGTAGATAATGTCACAATAACTTGCTTCTTTGAACTCCATGTGAAAGCTGTATCTCCAAGAAAAAATACAAATCCTGTAGTGCTCTTGCGATCATCGACGTCTCTTGCCCAATCACTATCGCAATATCCAACCAATTTGAAATTTTCTGACTTAGTATAAAGTAGACCATGATCGATTGTACCTTTGATGTAGCGCAGTATCCTCTTTGCAGCATTCCAGTGTGACATAGTTGGTGCCTCCATGTATCTGCTGACTAATCCAACTGCGTAGAGAATATCTGGTCTGGTACAAGTTAGGTATCTCAGACTTCCCACTAGGATTCTAAACTCCGTTGAGTTTAACTTCTCTCCTTTATCATCCTTAGATAACTTAAGTCCGCTTTCTACTGGTGTGCTCACAGGATTACAGCTTTCCATCTTAAACTTCTTCAGAACATCCTTTGCGAAGCCACTCTGTGAGATAAAAATTCCTTCGTCCTTTTGAGTTACTTCAATACCGAGATAGTATGACATTAGTCCGATGTCTGTCATCTCGAACTCTCGAACCATTGTCTTCTTGAATTCTTCAAACATTTGAGGATCGTTGCCTGTGAAGACGAGATCATCAACGTATAGACAAACCATCAATATTGCTCCCCCTTGCACCTTGCAGTATAGTGCATGCTCGTGTGGACATTTACTGAATCCATTCTGCTGAAAGTACTTGTCAATCCTGCTATTCCATGCTCTTGGTGCTTGTTTCAAACCATACAGTGCCTTTTTCAGCTTCAACACCTTATCTTCTTGACCTTCAATGACATATCCAGGGGTTGCTCCACATAGATATCTTCCTCGAGATATCCATTGAGAAAAGCTGACTTCACATCCATCTGGTGTATCTTCCATCCATTTTGAGCAGCGAGAGATATCACCATCCTGATACTCTCCATTTTTGCCACGGGTGCAAAAACTTCATTATAGTCAATGCCTGGTCTCTGACTATATCCTTTAGCCACCAATCTTGCTTTGTGCCTGACAACTTCTCCTTTAGCATTTTTCTTAGCCTTGAATACCCACTTCACACCGATGGGCTTCTAGTTCTCAGGTAGCGACACAAGCTCCCAAGTCTTGTTCTTCACAATTGCTCGAATTTCTTCATCCATGGCTTTCTTCCATTTTTCATCCTTCATGGCTTCTTCAACATCCACTGGTTCACTATCAATGAAATGACAGTATAGTGTCAATTCATCACCTTCAATGGTTGTCGTTTCCTCATAAATTTCTTCAAGTCTTCTATACTTCTGTGGCCTTTCTTTCGGACTTTCACTCGATTCTCCTTCTGGGCTAGCAGGCTCTCAGTGTGGGTGGACTTGTCACTGGTGTAGCTGTATCTGGTTCATCATCACTTTCATCCATAGTGAATGGATAAAAAGTGTAATTTTTCTTTGCTTCAACAGTCCAGTCCCATGTTGCTTTTTCATCAAGCACCACATCTCTGCTGATGATCAGCTTCTCTTCCACAGGATCAAACATCTTGTAACCTTTTGAGTGTTCTGAGTACCCCAGGAATATGTACTTCTTGCTTTTGTCATCCAACTTCTTCCTTTCTTGATCCGGTACGTGCACATATCCGACACTTCCGAAGACTCGGAGGTGAGAGACTGTGGGTTTTCTTCCCCTCCATGCTTCTTGGGGTGTTTGATTCCAAACACTCTTTGTTGGTGACCTGTTCAGCCAGTAGACTGCACAATCAACAGCTTCAGCCCATAGCTCCTTTGGTAGGTTCTTGCTTTTCATCATGCTTCTCGCCATGTTGAGTACAGTTCGATTCTTCCTTTCAACAACTCCATTTTGCTGTGGGGATCTTGGAACCGTGAGAAACCTGCGAATTCCTTGATATTCACAGAACTTTCTGATCTTCTTGAGCATAAATTCTCCCCCTCTATCTGATCTCATAGCTTTGATGTAGCGGCCACTTTCATTCTCCACCATGATCTTGAACTTCTTGAAAGCTTCAAATGTGTCTGAATTTTGATTTAAGAAGTAAACCCATGTCTTTCTACTGTAGTCGTCAATGAACAATAAAAAATATTTATTCTTTTCGAACGATGTTGGAGTGATCGGTCCACAAAGATCTGCATGGACGAGCTCAAGTGGTGCTTTAGCTAGTGACAGGGACTCATTCGGGAAACTTGCCCTGAATTGCTTCCCAACTAAGCATCCTTCACACAACTGGTCTTGATGATTGATTACTGGCAGGCCATTCACCATCTTCTTGTGACCCAGTAACTTTAGGCCTCCAAAATTTAGATGGCCATACCTCATATGCCATAGCCATGTTGTGTCTTTCACACATGCTTTTAGACACTTTGCCATTTCTGTTTGAAAGTTCAGGGTGAACATTCTGTTTCTCGACATTGGGACTCTGGCCAACAACTGCTTCTTCTCGTTTAACAGCTCCAATTGACGATTCACCATATGGACTTCATAATTCTTCTCCATCAGCTGACCCAAACTCAGGATGTTACTAGTCATGTCCGGGACATAGTACATATCACTGATAGATTGTTGTGAGCCATTATTGAGTCGGATGAGTATAGTTCCTATGCATTTGATAGGAACCTTCGAGGAGTCTCCAAATACGACATTTCCTTTCACTGATTCATCCATATCCACGAACATGTTTCTTTTTCCACACATGTGGTTGCTTGCTGCATTATCCAGATACCACATGTTGTCTTTCGGTTTTTCATCTCCTTGATGTGACAGCATCAATGTGCCTTTAACTTCTTCTTCTTGCACATTGTTTGCAGTCTCCTCCACTTCTTTAGTCGGACTCCAACAGTCTAATGCATAATGCCCGTACTTTGAGCAATTATAGCACTGGACGTTGGATTTATCACGGCCTTCATTTGATCTCCAACTTCCTCTTCCACGTCCACGACCTCTGCCTCTGGTGGACGTTTCATAATTGTTCATGGTGAAATTTTCTCCTTCTCTACTTTGATATGCTCCTCAGGCTCTTCCTCTTCCTCTGTCTATGTAGTTGCCTCTACCTCGACCTCTGTTGTAACCTCCTCCTCGTGCGCCTTCTTTCTCCTCAGTGGTAGCTTTTGTAGCTAACACTTGTTCTGATGATTCTTCATTTCTTTATTTAGCCTTTCTTCTCTGGCTTGTAATGAACCGATGACTTCATCAACCGTCATTTTTGACACGTCCTTAGCTTCCTCCATGGCCACCACCATGTAGTCAAATTTTGGTAATAGCGATCGTAGAATTTTCTCCACCACTTTGGTCTCTTCAATTTTCTCCCCATACTGCTTCAATTTGCTGGCGATAGACTTCACACGGGCGGTGTAATCTGAAACAGATTCACCTTCCTTCATTTTTATTGCTTCAAAATCTCCCCTGAGTGTCTGAAGTCGAACCTTCTTCACTGGTTCCACGCCTTGCATTTCCTTTTGCAAAATCTCCCATGCTTCCTTTGCTGTGGTGGCATCTGCTATTTGGTCGAACATCGATTCATCAAGACACTGATGAATGAGAGTGAGTGCTTTTTGATCACTCTTTCTATTTTTTCTCAATACCTCCTTTTCAGCAGGAGATAACCGAGAATTCTCCGTGGGAATCTCATAACCTTTCTCAACAATATCCCAAGCATCTTGGGATCCCAGCAAGGCTTTCATACCAATGCACCAATTTTTATAATTGGTTTTGGTAAGGTGGGGGAATTGAATGGGGAAAGTGGATTTTTCGGCCATGGGACAATCGTGATAACAAAAACACGAGAAATTCTTTTCTGATGTGGAAGTTCAGACTACGCTGCAACCACAGAGCATACTTAAGAATAACTCGGGCTCTGATACCACTTTGTTGGAAATAAAATAATTTTATTTCCTTTTGATTTGAAAAACTAAAGGTGGGCTTTTGGTGGGGTTAGCTAGTTTATTGAGCTTTGAAATGGGAAGGATTTTATTTTGTTTTGGGAGAAGTGGATTGGCAGAGGACTTGGATTGGAGAAGGGAATGTAAACTCTTTTTTATTTGCTTCTTTCTCTCTTTTGGCTCTACATCATACACAGTTCCAAATGAGCCTATTTATACTACTCCCATTACATAAAAGTCTGCAACCTATTATTGACAGTAGTTGAACCGACTTAGCAATTGTGATTCATGATTTTTCTATTTTTATAATACAACTACCACACACATTTCTACACAATTCCAATCCATTCTAGCTCATCACGTCCCTTCCAGCAGATTCATATATTTTTTCAGTTTTATTTTAATTAAACTTTATTTAATTTCAACAGAAGAAGGGATGGTGTTATTACATTTCGGGACTTTGGCAATCCATGGTAGTCCTGAAAGATGGCGACGTCCTTGAAGCCACCAACACCTTCGGGGTTGCAAATGGAGGCAGCTGGGTTTTTCTTCAACCATTCTTCCACCAGATCGAAGCAGAGCTGGTTCTCGACAAGACCCATCTCCATCTGGATGACGCCGTCGAGTTTGTTGTGGTGGTGGTAGGGGTCGCTGTCGTATGCCTTCCAGTCGTTGAAGTAGAAGTTGTTCTCGCCGTGGCCGTCGCCGATGGCCATCTTCGAGAGCATCTGATTGTTGAGCTTGAACACCATTTTCTCTTCTGGGTCAGGGGAGATGGGGAAAAAAAACAGAGCAACTCTGTAGCTATATGTAGGGTATTAAGGTGCGGAAGTAGGTAATTGCTTGCGCTGCTAATTGAGACTTGAGATTTGGTTAATGGGAAATTGGTTTGATGTTATGTGGTGGTGGTGCAACTTGATGTGGTAGTTATAATAGTGTTAATGGTGGTGGGGGTCCTCTTTTTGGTAGTGTCATTTCGACAGAGATTTTATTATATTTATGATGAAATTGGGTTATGATTAAATATGGTAATGGTAATGGTAATGGCAATGGTGATTGGTGAACCTTCGTGTGAAAGAGAGCCTTTGTATTCCACAGACATCAGATCGACAAGTTTAAGTTTTGGTAGGCGATATATGTAAATGTTGTTGATTAGAATTTAATTTGGTCTTTATAACCAAATACTGTGATTACTGAATTAAAATTCAATTAAGGACTCTTCAAACAATTTAAGTCAACGAAATAAGTTGGTTTGTCATATGATATCTTAAAGCATGACAAATAAAAGATGCAAGTACAAAATATGCTAGTAGTAATGTTTTATTACTCTACTTTATTGGGTTGGTTTATGACTCATTGACTTGTACCTTCTTGATTGTGGAAGGAGGAATGTTTTGATTTTTGAAATCTCAATTTTCCAGTTTCCCTGTGCATTGATGTATTTTATACAAGTGCATTTCCTTCGTCTGTTTAAATGGGAGTGTAGGATAAGGATTGTAAAACAACTTTGGTAGGAGAAAACGGAATTCAAATAAGAGGCTTTTATTGTGTGAGTAAAAAGTACCATAATAGCATTGCGGTGACAACTCACTACGGTAAAATTATTTGTACAATTCACATAAATATCTCAAAGATATAATCTATTGTCAATCATCAACATCATATTTTTAATCCTAACCCCTTATGCTACAATGAAGAAGGGGGTTCGATTTTGTAGTTAGAATTAGTAATACAAATGCAAATTTGCTTTGGGCATGCAAAACATATAAGTTTCAAGAATAACTTTTTAGGCGATTACTGACTTTTAGATTCATAGTCTGAATATATGATAGATTCTATCATCTTCATATTATCATTAGGTTAGTCTTTAGAGTTCATTTTCAAGAAATGTTAGATGTAATTGTCGTTGATAATATATTAATAAAAAAACATTCCGTCTCTCCTACTTCTTCTTTTTTTTTATAATCCCGGCTCTCCTACTTCTTCATTGTAATTGTCGGGAACAGATCAGGTCAGTAATCTTATGGTGAGTAACCAAGAGTAATACGTCCACATCAGCATGAAATCAGCATCTCTCTCCTGGAAAGTCTTTAATTTTCCCCAATTTAATCTTCTATGGACGATTTCTCACTCGTTTTAAGTCAAATTTTTTTTTTGCCCAGTTAGATAAGATTAATTGTGCTCTTCAAAATGATATCCATTTTGATATATTTTTTGAACAAAAAAAATTGAGCCATCTTTAACCAGTCTATACCATATGGTATTGACATAAGAGCATACCTATGGTTTGAAAAGCGTATCATGGTGGTATGAACAAACCAAGACTTTAGGATGGTTGAATACATGATAGTAGAAGTATATTAACGGTCACTTACAACTTTTAACATTGTGTACCACAAGATACCACCCCGTACCAGGGTGGTATTGTGTGGTATTTTTTGGTCCTGTAATTTGTTCACCCAGAAATTTTTAGATCCAATAGATCATGATGAACTCGTTCCTTCTGTGCAAATGTTTTCAAAAACGAATTAAAAACGAAGAAGATACCATATGGTATGTAGTTGGTACCGAGAGGCAAGAATTTTTTTCTCAAAAAATATTGAAAATGGATCTCATTTTGTAGAGCACAACGAACTCGTTCCATCTGTGCAAAAAAAATTAAAATCCAAGTTAAAACGAAGAAGATATGAGCCGATTAAGAAAGCTAGGAAAAATAAAAATGATCTTTAATTCTCCATCCTTAGATCTGGATTTTCTAAATGAAAGATTCAGAGGTTATGCACCCTATCTTGGGCCGTAATTGTCATTACACACTATAAAATCCAAACTGTTTGTCCTATTACAAGTAGGGGTGGGCAAGCGGCGCAGTTCAACTGCACCGCACCGCATATTAGACTGCAATTTAATTGGTGCGGACAAATCAAACCACTTTAATATGCGGTTTGGTGTGGTTTGGACCGCACCGCATAATTGACCGCAATGAAATATGGACTATGAATAATTGAATTGACAGATTCTAATTATACGAAAAAATATATTTAAGATCCTAACTAATTATATATATACATATATTAATCACGTTAGTTATATATGACTTTCATGACCCTTACTTAAGTTAATTAATTACTTAGCAGCTCAAAAATAGAGCCTTATTATTCCTCTGGCAGCAGAGTTCAATAGGAACACCCTGGGTGGCTCGGCAGCGGCGGGGATGGATCCTTTAAACTTTAGCGGTTTCCATCTTCTGAATTTGGCAGAGCTGATAGCTTTGGAACCCCTTCAATCAGCCAAAACCGAACGGAAGTTAAGAGCAGCTGCTTGCAATTAACTGTCCGGAGGAATAAAAATTATTAGCGGTTTGCGATTTTAAACCGCAACCGCACGGTTTCGGATTAATCTGACCGCGAATCGCGAGCTGCTAAAAATTCAGACCACATAGTGAACTGCAAATCTTATGATGCGGTTTGGCTCGACCGCAAAAGTGGTTTGGTGCGGTTTGGAACGGTTTGACCGCACCAATGTCCACCCCTAATTACAAGGAAAATCTGTACATCAACGACTTGGTTTAAAGAAATATTTTTATTAAGCCAATCAATCAAGTGAACTAATATGAAAAAAAAAAAGTTGTTTACGAGCAATGTACACATTTTATTATCGATGCGTGACAAAGTGCTTACGAGTACCAGTAATGAGCATGTGCCTCACTGCCGAGAAGAACAAGTGTACAATGTGATGCAGTTATAGAATTAATTGATTGCTATATTTCACATAAATGCTAACAGTGTAACATGAATCTGTCTTTTAAAAAAAACGTCTTCCCATTTTCTTGGTTGGTCCTCCCTAGGGGTATTGTACCCTACGCGCTACACGCACAATGTGGCGAGAGACCCTCCAAAGTTAGGGCAGCTGTGCTGTGGACTTCTTCAAAAGCATGATACGTACTGAGAAACTCGACCGACCAATTGCCTTTTTCCTCCTCTTCCACTGGTTGCCACGACGAACCTGATTTCCCATATTTGCACAGCGTTTCAGTGAGTTAGGGCTTGTCTAGTTTAGGTGTGTTAAAGCAAGGATTGAAGTTGCTGTGTGATGGAGTTGCTGAAGAGTTGGTGAATCCGAGTCCGTTCTGGAGAAGGAAAAGAGCTGAAGCCAAAACTGTGTCGTTTAGTCTTTAAAGAGTTAATTGTTTGCTAAGCTGTGTCGTTTGGAGTCTTTCTGTTTTAGTCCCTATTGTTTGTCTCGAGTCTGTAAGGGTCCCTTGAGCTAATCTAGCCGTTGCAGAAGGTTTACGTTGGCAGAGCAAGGTTGTTAGCTTGGAGCTAATCTCCAGGGATTCAGTAGTTAGATGTGAGTGTCATAGCCGAGTCTGGTGGCTTTTCTGTTATGAGTCCTGTGTATAAAGTTTGAGTTCCAATCAATGAATAAGATGGTCAGTTTGCCTCCAATTGCTTTCACATAGTGGTATCAGAGCAATCGCAGGCTGTAACCAAGAGAGAGTTTAGTGTGTGAAATCGTTCTTTGATCTGGGTTAAAGGGAAACACGAGAGTCTGGTGAGGTTGTCTTTGCATTTCTGGTGAGAGCTCTGAGGAAATAGATTATGAGTGATCATAGCTTTGCCCAAGTGTGCAGACCAAAATTCGACGGTGACTATGATCATTGGAGCTTGGTGATGGAGAATCTCCTTCGATCCAAGGAACTTTGGAGTGTGGTGAATCCAGGTTTCGATGAGCCTACCGATGAGGAAGAGCAATCTGCTGCTCAATCCAAGGCTTTGGAAGCAAATCGGCTCAAGGATCTCAACGCCAAAAACTACCTATTCTGCTCAATCGACAAGAGTATTCTCAAAACAATCACTCAGAAGGGTACTGCAAAACAGCTTTTGGATGCCATGAAGATTCGGTATCAAGGTAACGAGAGAGTGCAGAAGTCCAATCTGCAGGGACTGCGCAGGGATTTTGAGCTGCTGCAAATGAAGGAAGGAGAGGGTGTAGCAGAGTATTTTAGCAGGGTCATGGTGATTGCCAATTCAATGAGGAATTGTGGAGAGGATATGACTGATACAAAGATAGTAGAAAAGGTACTGCAAACTCTTACTGAGAAGTTCAATTACATTGTGTGTTCAATTGAAGAATCCAAGGACAATGGGGAGCTATCTGTAGATGCATTGCAAAGCTCACTGTTAGTTCACGAGCAAAAGTTCACTAGGCACTCACATGGAGAAGAGCAGGCTCTACAAGCCTTTGGAGGAGGCCGAGGCAGGGGTTTTGGCAGAAGTGGGTACCAGGGTGGAGGAAGAGGCAGAGGACGAGGAAGAGCATGGACTCGTGAAATGGTAGAATGCTTCAAATGTCACAAGATGGGATATTACATTCGTGAATGTCCTGAGTGGAACACAGCAGCACATTACATTGAATCCTCGGATCAAGGATTCAAGGATGATGTTCTGCTCATGGCATACACTGATGGACACAAGGCTGATCAACAAAAGAAGTTAGAGGAATGGTGGTTCTTGGACTCAGGGTGCAGCAATCATATGACTGGTGACAAATCTTGGTTCATTAAGCTCAACTCGAATTTCAAAGGGGATGTCAAGCTTGGAAATGGCAGTAGACTAGATGTGGAAGGAAAAGGAACTATCAAGATGCTGGTTGGTCAAGTCCCACTAATCATACAGAATGTATACTATGTGCCAAGTCTCAGGACCAGTCTGCTCAGCATAGGGCAGCTACAAGAGAAGAACCTGGAATTCTC